GCTTCGACATCCAGTCTAATTAGCATATGATGCTTTTATTATTATAGATACATGGTACATAATAATTCTTACCATGGTGACTATGGCATAATCCAATAGACTGTAGTAGTGAAGGCAGTGAGGTGATAAGACTCTAAAATACAAATACTCCTGTAGTTCTCTGCCACTGCAAGGCTGTAATAGCAATTCTCAAAGTGCTCAAGTATAGTCCTACCTTGAAGACAAGGGGAGATTTACATAGCTGTGACATGTTCTTCTAGCAGTGATTCCCAGACTTTTGAAATTAATGGAAATCAGAATTTAAAATTTTGGAGACTGACACAACAAGAGAAAATTTAAAACTACCACCTTCTATTACACCATTAAAAAAAAAACCCACAAGTCAGCATGTAACAACCTCAACATTTTGCTATAGATTAGCTACTATGGTACATAGGCCTGTGACAGATACAGCAACAAAATTATTTCTGATAGATGAACACTTTTCATCTAATTTATGTGTCTCAATCTCTGGGTCTTCAGTTTGGAGAGTACCTACGTTTGTTCTGCTGTGCTACTTGGAGTACCACTAGTCACAGCCATGAGTATTACCAATATTAGTTCAAGCAACGAGCTGTGATGGCCAGAACAGAGAGCCACAAGTTCAACCAAAGCCTTTCTGAAAGGGATTTCCCACTGACTCTCAGCAGTGTTACAGTAGTTCTGATCACAGTACCAATTCTACAGAGTAGTAGCAGAATAGTAGTATCTCTGGGCACAGAGATAATTATTAAAAAAATCTGCAGAGACTTTGAGAAAGAGACTCAACTGGGTGCTGGCAAGATTTCTTCACCACTTAGTCTCCTTTGGTTCTCCATTCCACTTGTAGCTCAATTTCTCATTTTCTACTCTTAACTTGTCTAGCCTAATGACTACGCACGTCACGACAACTGCAAAAGTAACAATGATTTAAAACACACACACACATTATAGAATAAAATATAAACCAAATAAATAAAAGTACAATTTTCACACCTATTTTGGTAAATCCTGCAGCCCAGGCAAATAATCCCATACCATTTTCATTTCCTTAGGTTAATTCTCACTAAATACTAATTTGATATGTTCAATATAAGATATAATAAAAAACTAAATCTGGATATTTAAACATGCTTTATTCTCTCTTTTCTGTGAGGTAATAGATAGACATATGTATTTATAGATTCTAAAATCTCAGAACTATAACATGGGCTGAATCATAAAATGCTTATCATTATCGTAGAAAGAATGTACAAATGAGTTTGCACATGGAAGACATGATACATATTTAAAGACATATTACATTATTTCACCTTTGACAAGCAGTATAAACGGTTAATAAAGTTTTCAAATTAAACAATTATTCCAGCCCACAAATATTTAATCAATATATAGGATTGCATGCAGTTCTTAAAGCACATAGAGAAGCAAGAAAATGATCATCTTGATTTGTATCGATGGTATGATTAAACATGACATTATGGACACTGAAAATAGATTTCATGTAAAGTGGATGTATGAATGTATAATGTAAACACCTCTTAGTTGCATCTAGAGTAATACATGAATAAGGTTTTCCTTTGTGTGGGAAAATTATAGTAGTCCTTTGCAGCTATGTATGTGCATATGGTTCCCTCCTTCTGGCAGGCAATCGGCACTAGGCTCTGATAGGCACTCCTTGAATTTCTTGCCATCAGTTTTATCCTCTCCTCTTTTCTCATAAAGAGGAATTTTCCTCCTAGCCTTTCTGAGATTTTCAACAAACAGCTTTTTCCCTTCAGCCTTAAAATATGATCAGGTGTCTGCTGTCTTAAATATTCTCTTCCAGAGTCCACCATAATTCTATCTTTTCTTTCAAAAGGGAAGTCCTTTTTTGAGTTTTCTAGATTTCTGTCTTTATTTAGTCTGTAATGAGGGGAACCGATTTTAGGATAAAGCTAACAGTATGGATGGAAGAGTGAGGAGGGAAATACTAGTAACTTAAGTATTTAATATTATATATAAATCTGAGCCTTTCCCTACATTTTGACTGTTTCTTATGTTAGCTAAGCATTTCCTTAATGTTCAAGGCTGTTTCCCTTGAGTTTTCTATACCTTGCAAAGGAAAGACTCCACTGAAAAAATGATTTCTTCTCTGTTCTTCCTAGAAACATCTCTGAAATGTTGGTGTTCCATGGAGTTCTATGTCATCCATCTACCTCACTCATGGCTCAATTTGATGACTGCTAAGTTTGAATCTCCAGCTAAGATTTCTCTCCTGGCCCAGCTGGTGTGGCTCACTGACTGAGCATCAACCCATGAACCAGGAGGTTAGCTGTTTGATCCCCAGTGGGTGGGGAGAGGGGGGTGTAGGAAGCAGCCAATCAATGTTTCTCTCTCATTGATGTTTCTATCTCTCTATCCCTTTCCCTTCCTCACTCTCTCAAATCAATAAAAAACATTAAAAAATATTTTCTTCCTGAACTTCAGATAAATATATAAATATCCACTAAATTTTTCCACTCAGATGCCCCAACAATACATCAAATCAACATATTAAACTTAAGCTCTCTCTTCTCCACTTCCATTTACTATTCTTTTTGTATTTCCCAACCCAGTGCATATCGTCACTCACTTGTCCAAATTAGAAACCTGGGTATCAATCAATTTTGGAACTGCCCTTTATCTCTTATGCCTCATGTCCAGTGTAACATTTAAGAATATATTCAATCTATGCATTTCTCTCCATCACCTATTACTTCCATATACTCTCCCCTGAATTACAACAGACGTTTCTTAACTGGTTCAATTACCTCTAGTCAGTCTCCTCTCCAATTCATTCTCTGAAAAGCTATCAGTGCTCATTAAAGAAAAATTTAGTCATGTCTCTGCCCTGTCTAAAATAGTTCAATGTTTCCCTTCCCATTTCCTTCACTATAAAGCTAAGCATGATTTGGCTTCTGCGTATTCCTCCAGCTTTATTTTACACCACTCTTCATTCTCAACTTCCATTAGTTTCTTAACTAAACAGGTGTGTGCCCTCATAGCACTGTATCCCATCTTCACAGCACTAATCACACTATATTATAGTTATCTACACTGCTGAATATTGCTCAATAGGCAGATTAATAACATGTGTAACACCTGCAAATCAGGGTGTTCACAATTATGTGGGGTAAATAATTTGATATTTTATATCTATTAAAAGTACCGAGGTCATCATCAAGAGGGAAATCATCACCTGGGTTAGAAAGAGTTTGTGATTATGCAGTGCATATGTAAGTTATGAATCACAGTTACAAAATGAACACTCATGAACTTAAAAACTAGAGTGTAAGAACCACAATTCAACTTAAGAAATAGAACAGTACCAATAATACCAGTTTCCTCCCTCATCCTACCCCCAGTTTTCCCTTTAGAGATAACAATAATCCTAAATTTTTTGTTAACTGTTTCCTTATAAAATTAGTTTTTTCAATCATGTAATTATGCCTAAACAATATATTTTAATGTTGCTTATTTTTGAGATTTATAAATGTGGTATTTTTGATGTGTGACATCTTCTGAAACTAATTTTTCACTCTAATTACATTTTAAAAATTTATATACATTATCATAATTATAGTTAAGTAATTTCCATGGCTGTAAAATATTCCTTTGTGTGAATATCAGAATTTGTGTATACACTTTCCTGGTAGATAATGTGTTTTTTTTCAATGTTCAACTATTCTGAATATTTAAAGTATCTGAATGACATGTACAGGATTTTTTCCAGAATATCATCTCAGAAAGAGAATTGTTGGAATGTAGGGTCTATGCATGGTTAGCTTTATAAGATAATTTGTTATCAAACCATTGTGATTTTTATTTCCACTAGCAGGATAGAAGTTTCCATTGCTCTTATACTTGCAAACAGCTTCATTTTTCATACTTAATTTTTCCAAATCTAGCCAGTGGAAAATAATATCTTTTTTTTGCATTTCATTGATTAAATGATTCAATGTTTAAAATATTTATTCACTCTTCTGATTTCCCCTGTATTTTATAATTTAAAATATTCTATTGTATGTATTTTCTTATTGATTTGTAGGAGTTTAAAAACATATATTCTGGAATACTAATCCTGTGTCCCGCATATATCTCACAATTATCTTCTCTCAGTCTTTTTTAATGCTCTTTATGGCAATTAACATGTAGTCTTATGATTACCTACATATCACTCAGCCTATCTACTAGACTAAAAGGTCCTGGAGGTAAGACACCATATCATATTCATTTCTGTTCCCTAGCATCTAGTAACAGCTCCAAATATAGTGTTACTTGAGTCACTGTTTATTAAATGAATGATTGGATGAATGAATGACTTTTAGTAATGTGAATCAATCTCTTTGTAGTTAAATTTCATTTCATGCCCAGCCGGCGTGGCTCAGTAGTTGAGCATCAACCTATGAACCAGGAGGTCATGGTTTGATTCCCGGTCAGGACCCATACCTGGGTTGTGGGCTCGATCCCCAGTAGGGGGTGTGCAGGAAGCACCTGATCAATGATTCTCTCTCATTGATGTTTTTCTCTCTCCATCTCCCTTCCTCTCTGAAATCAATAAACATATATTGAAAATAAAAATAAAAAATGTCTAAATGTTTAAAAAAATTTCATTTCATACAAATTGGCTACATCATAATGCTGAAGCCAAGAAAGTCAGAAGTATATGTTACACACCTTCCTGTAGTTGCATGTCAAAGATGGGTGTCAGGCACTAGTAAGAGGTGCTAGCATCTGCAGAGAGGCAGCAGAATGTTTGTAAAAATTTGTTACCAGCTCTGAACATATGGCAATGTTCATTTTTCATCCTTTTCAGTGCACTTATAATTCTTATAGTGAAATAATATTTAGCCTAAATTTGTCACAAAGTTAGAAATGATGTTAAGATATAAGATATGGATTACATATTACAATGGACGTGCAAGGCTCAAGGTTTGTGTCATCAACTTAAAATTGGTTACCTTTTTAGTAATGGTGTCCGGAGGTACATCCCGCCTCCCAAGAGGATAAGGATTCCATTGGCCACTAGGAGATACATCTTCTTGTCCATTGTCTAAAATGTTGCTTTGCTGGGACGGGGTCTATTGCAAAAATGGTATGGCATTCTTTAGTGATGTAATAGAAGTTTAATCATAGTTTTCTGAAGAGAGTCCCTAATGATTATGGTAAAATTAATTTTGTTTAACTGCAAAAAAACTCCATACATCCTGAATTGGAAGTATTACTATACATCTTTTACTCAGTAAAAAATTCTAAATTGATAGCTTTCTGGAAGCAGTGAGAAATTTAACTAAAGTAACATTCTTAGTGTTATATACTGAAATCTAAGGAAAAGTTGAGATTATTTACAGTACCTGAATAAAAATAATCAAAATAAAATTAACCGATAAAACTACAACATTTAAACTTGCTTGTTTCTTGAGTATGCTACTACCATTTAGAGTGTAAATTGAAACCATAGAAACACAGTATGTAACTCTTAATATTTGAAACCATAGCCTAACACAAATTTTATAAGGCTGTACTGATTCTGGGAGCATATACCTTGCGCTAATCCAAAAGAGTGTTAACACTAGTATAGTGTATGTAAGATTCATGGTTATATGACATTATCTACAGATAGCTATGAGGGGGAAATTAAAACAACATAGAAATATTGTATTATTAGAATCACAGTATAAATAAATTATGACTTTTAATTCAAAATTTATTTATATAGGTCACATGCATTAAAGTTTAAACTCTTCATATATATTTAATTTTTTGCTGATTTACTGCTTATTATTTTTAACAAATAATAATTTCTCTGTCTTTATTATTATAATATTAGCTATTTGGGGGGGGGGATTCCTCCACAGTCTGACCTGATTAATAGGAAGGATTCATACACCATGGAGGGATAATAGTGGGATATTTTTCTTCTGAAAGCAGATTAACTTTTCACAAAGCCTTTCTCCTCCCCGAACCTACAGGATACACAGGTACTAAACTCGAGTTCCTGAGGAATTCTTATGGGTGAGATACTATGTTTAGTGTTCCCTATTCCACTTTATGTGGATGTTTTGAAGGATCACTACAGACAAATAAAGCTGAGTTACAGCATGTATGTGCAGCTCTATTCTGTGTGAAGTATTGTCCTCCAAACCCAGAAAGGGAGAACTAGACCATTCTCTTTATAACATGGCAGAAATGGGCTGTTTGCTAGGCTTCCTCTGATTACATGGAATAGTCCCCGTTGTTCTCCTTTAGAAAACAATTATATAACCACTCTATGTGTATTCTGACTGCATGCATTTTTTAAAAGCATTGCTTGGAGTTACTTGAAAATCCGATTTGCTATGAAACTAGATGAAGCTTTCCTAAGGTCTAATGGATATAGTGAAAAGTAAGAAGATAACTCAGTTTTCTTCTTATTCTTTGGCCATGTGAATTTCTTTCTCATGAGCCTATCTGAAAGAGTGAAAAAAGAGAAAAGGTATTGAATTGAATTTCCTGGGTTAGCTAGAAATGAATTTGTGTTTCTTTGGAAACCAAACATTAACACCTTTAAAGTATATATTACTTAAAAATAACCAGATAACAATTCCGGGTCCATCTATTTGTCTTTAAGCATTAATTTTCTAGTCTTTGCCTTTTCCAGATTATTATTTTGGCATATGTCCCCAAACAATTTTTTTAGATATTAAAATACGACAACTCAAATTATTAAAATTAAGCAGTTAAAATATAATCATTCAGGATAGGCATTACGGGCCCATGGTTTTTTCTGGCTGGGTTTCTGTGCCAGAGAAGTGGGATAATAAAGTGTTCATCTGGCTAGGTCTGTGCAACACAGATTTTTTGAGTTCCACACAGGTATCTTTCTCTTTTCCTCCATATCACACCATCTCTATTTCCTCCACTAAACTTGGTTCAGCTGGCCAGATATGACTTCTAGTCACAGAGAGCAACTGATAATTGCAAAATTCTTTCTGGCATAAAAAAAGGGGGCTAAAAGTCTTTAGTTAAATTTCTAATATTATGATGATATAGGCTCTTCATTAGTTTAGGAATTAATCTTTTTCTCTTTAAAATTAGGATCAGCATGCATACCAATTTCTCTCTATTATGGCCAAAGGAAACAAACATGCAGACGCATAAAGAATTACTTTCACTAGACAGCGAAATTAAAGAAATAGTCTGAACGCAATTTCCTTTATTAATTCTAAGAATGTTTTGGTCTTTTTGTTTTTAAGTAAGACATCCTAGGGGTGACTTCAGTTTGCAGAAATAGAGTATGGGAACAATTTATTGTTTGGGAAGGGGAACCCAAAAGAGAGTTATATGGTAGGTTCACACTATTTCCCAAAATGAGCATAGACATTAACAAAAAATTGTACTCTTGATAAAGTGCTAATGAACCAAGTATAAATGGATTTCCTCAGTTGTTAAAATTCCACAGAAGATTAAAAGGAGCAATTGAAAAGTATAAAAAAAGTAATGAAGTTATCACTGTTGAAATTTATTATTTCAGAGAAAATAACCAAATTGATGTTCAGTTATTCATTTATTTTTAGTACCATACTCTAGATATTTTAATTATATACTTTAAAAGATTAAGAATAAATCTTATCCTTACCACATGTAACCAATTAAATCTAAAGGACATAGAAAATCATCACCTGCAGCATTCTCTCAGCTTCTAAATTCTGTAGATATTCAATATTTCAAAATAATAGAGAAAATGGTCAGTATGATTTAGTGAAAAATCAAAAATTGTATTAAGAAATTCAGTAATGCTAGTAAAAGTTTTGCTGAATAGGTTCTGGTCCCAAAGACTGCTGCGGACATTTGTAGATTTAACACTGCTGTGAATGATCATACGTGTCTATTGGAAGAAGTAATTTCTAATTTTGCTGAGACATAAATGTGCATGAGTATGGGTGTGTCTCTATATATCTGTGTATGTATATGAGTGTGTGCTTGTAGGTGTGTCTATATGTCTCCATATGTGAGTACATGTATGTACAGGATTCACAGGTAGAAGTAAATGAGCTTAGCTGATCCAATGGCTCTGCTCTTGTCTGCTAATTAATGGGTACAATAAACGCTTAGTGCATTTCGTCGGAGGAATTATGTAAGTGTGGTATTACAATTTGGCACTTTGAAAAGGTCTTGGGATATATCCCTTAAGAGCTCAAGGATCTATTTTGCTCAGTAATTGTTACATGCTTCATGAAAGGCATTACCATAGATTCAAAAATGCTTTAAAATTAATTTTCCTCAAAATATTTCTGGCAAAATTATTGTTATATTATTCTTTTCCTGCATATTTTTGAAAAAATTAGGTATTATAAAGACAACTATATGCCAAGCTTGAATCTATACTATTATGATATCACAGGGTTCAGTCTGAAGGTGGTAAGGTCATGTCAATATGATTCTTAAACCAGCATTTTATTACAATGATGAAGAAGCATCTGTATGGATGCTAAGCTTATTTTGGTAATTTTAGCTCCTACTGATGAAAATGTATGTGGTTTATAAGATAAAAGCATTTTGCATAATTAGGAAGTTAAGAGAATCCTTCTTGAGAGTAGGTAGCCAATAATAAATGCAGCAAGGTCAATAGAAACTGTAGGCATAAACTGCCTCTAGGTGCCACCTAAATGGCATCAAGTAAGTAATCCTTGGAACTGGGGTAAATAAATGCATGTAAAATGTTGGCACTATTTGATCCTGAGTCATCTGCATAGATGCAGTAATAAAGGACATTAGAAATTTTAAAATCGTTTAGGTACAAGTATTGCTATCTAAACTTATCTAATTCAAAATATAGAAGAATGAGTATTAACCAACAAAACAGATAACATTTTCTTCCAGGAAAAATTCTATGAAAAGATGATTTAATACATATATTTCTATAATTTCAGCATCCCTTCTCTTGAAATTATAATTTATGTTAATATCTGTTTTAATAGTCCAATAAGCATTAGGTGCTATGGTATAATATTACAGTGGGAGACGTTAAAAAAAGAAAAAAAAGGAAACAAAGTATCAATTGCTCCAGCGTAGAAGAGACCACACTATTAATATTGGCAGCCGGAAACCCGCAAACAGAAGTTAGAGAAGGCCAATGATTTCTTCCACATCCCTGCTTATCCCTGGGGCTGCAGTAGCATGGATGATTAATTTATGATTTTCTTGGGTTCACAACCTTTGGCCTTTGACTGCTACCAAGCATATTTCTAAGCGGTAGTAAGTGCTCAGGAAGTGCAAGAGGATCTTAATAAGTGCAAGGTAACTATTAGCATTTAGCAAGCTCAGCTAACTCAGAAAGCATGTGTCTGTAGCACATAGGGGAAGATTTGGGTCATGATATGCTTTGGATAAATGAATATATCCTACTTATGTGTTCTTTCTTTCACCCCGTGATATCTACTTTTCTGGATTGTTATGAAGATGATGTGGGATAACAGTGTGTACAAGAGAGCTTTATCAACTTTTATGAGCTATGTTCTAAGGAAATGCCAGGTTTTACAAACATTCGAGAAGGCATCACCATATAGTAAACAGCAAGAACTTGGGTGCCAAGCAGAGTCAGATTCCAATTCTAGCTGCCCCTATGCTAGGGACAGGGGTTACAATAGTAAACAGTAAAAATACAAGTGACTTATTTTCTGTGACACATGAACCTCAGGTTTCTCATCTATATAATGAAGATAAATACTTCTTATGAGAGTTTTTGTTAGAGGTGGGTGAAAAAATATATTTAAAGTACCTCATTGTACCAGGTACATAGTAGATTCTCAATAACGTTTATTTTTTTCTTCTTCTTCTATCAAAATATTTATTCTACCATTAATCTGGATAATAAAAATGGTAGTCTGAATTGACATTTTACAATACAGTTGACCCTTGAACACCACATGGGTAGGGGTGCCAATTCCTTTGCAGTCGAAAATCCACATATACCTTTAACTTCCCCAAAACTTAATTACTAATAGCCTACTGTTGACAGATAACCTTACCGATAACACAGTTGATTAACACATATTTTGTATGTTATATGTATTATATATTGTATTTGTACAATAAAGTA